TGCCATGCGCTCTCACATTGAAGCTGTCACAATCCAAGGTTCAGTGAAAGTAGCTGCTAAGAAACTCTGAGATGAAAGCAGCCAGGACTCTTGTGTCGTTATAGTTGTGTTTCTAATAGTGTCTCTGCCCATATTTGTGTCACACTTACAGGACCAGGACACTTTGCTCAATGCTTCATCTGTTGCGTTTGTAATATATCTGTTTCTATTTCAACTCCTGTCTAAACCCCTATCATCTACGCCTTTTTCTATCCCTGTTTAGAAAGTCAGTTAACTCATTGTTACACTTCAAATACTGAAGCCTGGCTCCTGTGAGGCTATGATAGCATAGAGAGAGTGGGAGACGTATTTAAGACAGTCAAATAAATTTAAGGATCCTTATCCAAAAAGAATGCTGTTTGGCATTTTTTGATGCCAATATTTTGAACAGAGATACTGGAAACAAAATGTGACATTTTCTAGCGAAAAAATAATTCTTCATGCAGCAGTGTCAAGTGATTTAATCTAGTCTAGTCTAATGTAGAAAACTGAAAAGCAGGACACTCTTTAATGTAGTGATACAGGAATATGTTATCATGTCACATGAGTCAGTTTTCCATAACTTCTCATTTGTTACGTCACTGAATTTGCATTATTATGTGCACTTTATGATACTTTACATGTGCATTTATTTAAAAAAACAGCGACAGATATCCTCAGTAAGTCTTCTGTCTGAAAAAGGCAAAACAAAGGGGAAACACTGAGTTATTATGATCGATGCTGAATTGAGGAGGAATTTTTTCTGAATTTTGTTGTTGTTTTTTCTTAAGTAGCAGTGCATTGAGCTCTCAGGGCCACCGTAGATATGCCTTATGGGATGTATTAATATTGATGACATCTCAAATTAGAATTTCTCAACTTAAAATGCTGAACATATGTAGAGGTCCTGCCAAAATCTATGTATAATACACAATACATGTACAAGCTTGATACGGTTCCATTCATCAACTTTATTCTAAGGAGTATCTGAATCAGATAATAGGATCAGACACCTGCTGTGTATTTGCTTCCCCTTAGTTAGGAAGTCCAAACACAGGGTCATTATTTTTCTTACACAACCTCTTTGAGAAGAGCCAAGGCAGACACTCTTCCCACTCTGCTTTCAACCTGGTTGGGAAAACGGGCCCAGGCAAAGGGGTCAGACCAACAGTGATTCCAGGACCCTCGAGACAGAGCTACCTTGCACAAAAAAAGGGCTGCTGCTTTGTGGGTCTATCACATGCGAGGCTGAAAGTAAGAGTCGTGTGTCGCCACCTGGGCAGCTAGCAGAGACATTTACGGCACATTAGTAAACAAAAAGTCAGTTACTGCTACTGAAAGAAAACTGTCACCAGAGAGCGCGAGGGAGGGAAGGGGGGTGTGGAGAGATAATACAAAGATGTGACGGAGAGCTTCAGGCAGAAAGCTGACGGAGCTCAGCAGCTTCTCATCTCCTCTGATGATCTGATGATCTGATGATGACGATGATGAAAAACATCGAAGAAGCTGAGCTCTGCTTTCCACAACTCCTCAACTCCTCCTGCAGGAAGACGATGCATCCTCGCTCTGTATCTATGCTCACTTACATCATACTGTCCTCCATCTCTGTGTTCACTGTGACTCTCAACCTGCTGGTCATCATCTCTATCTCCCACTTCAAGTAGTCGAATCTTTTTTTTATTAGAACATATCAGAACATAAAAATAACCAGATGTCAAGTATGTGAAGGAAAAGTGTGATGTTTTTAAATAATGCTTTTCAATCATGGCTGTAATCTGCTGGATCATCGACACTACGACAATAATCATGTTGCTCTCCTACCTCTCCAGGCAGCTCCACACCCCCACCAACCTCCTTCTCCTCTCTCTGGCTGTCTCGGACTTCTTCGTGGGCCTCCTCATGTCCTTTGAGATTGTGCTCATAGACGGCTGCTGGTTCCTCGGTGACTTCATGTGTGTTCTGTATTATGTTTTGGTCTACATTATCACCTCTGCCTCAATAGGAACTATGGTGCTCATATCTGCCGACCGCTATGTGGCTATTTGTGATCCTCTGCATTATTCTACCAAAGTCACTCAGAAAACAGTTAAAGTGTGTGTTTGTGTGTGTTGGCTGTGTGCTGCTGTCTGTCACAGTCTGCTGATGATGGACAACCTGACACAACCGGGCAGGTATAACTCCTGCTATGGAGAGTGTGTGGTTGTTATTGATTATGTTGCTGGACTCGCTGATCTGTTTTTGTCTTTTTCTGGTCCTGTCACTGTCATCACACTTCTGTATCTGAGAGTTTTTGTGGTGGCTGTGTCTCAGGCTCGTTACATGCGCTCTCACATTGCAGCTGTCACAATCCAAGGTTCAGTGAAAGTAGCTGCTAAGAAATCTGAGATGAAAGCAGCCAGGACTCTTGGTGTCGTTATAGTTGTGTTTCTAATATGTCTCTGCCCATATTTTTGTGTCACACTTACAGGCCAGGACACTTTGCTCAATGCTTCATCTGTTGCGTTTGTAATATATCTGTTCTATTTCAACTCCTGTCTAAACCCTATCATCTACGCCTTTTTCTATCCCTGGTTTAGAAAGTCAGTTAAACTCATTGTTACACTTCAAATACTGAAGCCTGGCTCCTGTGAGGCTATGATAGCATAGAGAGAGTGGAGACGTATTTAAGACAGTCAAATAAATTTAAGGATCCTTATCCAAATAAAGAAATGCTGTTGGCATTTTTTGATGCCAATATTTTGAACAGAGATACTGGAAACAAAATGTGACATTTTCTAGGCAGAAAAATAATTTCTTCATGCAGCAGTGTCAGTGATTTAATCTAGTCTAGTCTAATGTAGAAACTGAAAAGCAGGACACCTTTAATGTAGTGATACAGGAATATGTTATCATGTCACATGAGTCAGTTTTCCATAACTTCTCATTTTGTTACGTCACTGAAATTTGCATTATTATGTGCACTTTAGTGATACTTTACATGTGCATTTATTTAAAAACAGCGACAGATATCCTCAGTAAGTCTTCTCTGTCTGAAAAAGGCAAAACAAAGGGGAAACACTGAGTTTGTATGGATCATGCTTGTGTATTCTGCATTGTAAATTCACACAATATAAGCCGGGTAAGAGAAACAAGTGTAAGGCAGAGGTGGAAAATGTACTGTATAAAAGCACATCATCAACTTTTTCTCCTTAAATTTTAATATCTGTGGAAATGTAGGCTATACATATTTTATAGTAAAAACATTTAATAATAACAAATAAAAATTATATTACACACATGTCACGCATTTGGGCTCATTATTATCAAAGGGTGGGACATGCTAATGTACTTAGGAAATGGACACAAGATAGTTACACATTCAACCTGGGCTCCTAGATGCCGAGACTCACACACAAATCATCAAACTTGGTAGAACAACAAAAATAAAAGAAGCCTCTGCTGGATTTTTAATGCACTACCCCTAGTTAAAATCATATTTAGACTGATATTTACTCCTTTACTATAAAGAGCCCTGTATTTGTCTACCTTATTTCTGACTGATGTTCAATTCCAGTGTCTTTTTTAGGATGATATTATCTGTAACTAAAACTACGTTCAGAGGTGATGAAGCACTTTTTTCAGCCCTGAGTCTGTGTCGGTAGTCTTCCCTTCAATCTCTATTACCCCAAACAACCTGTAGCAATAAGGTAGGGCAGCCTGTATGAGGCCTGTGGAAACCAGGGAGAAAAATAACTTGTTGCACCATATACTGCTCTTTCTTAGGTTTCTCTCTTCGCTCAACAAAGTGAAAAATAGTGGAACGAATGTTACTGTCAGGTCATATCCACAGGGTCTAGCATTTTTTTGAATTTTTGCAGCAGTAGTGGCCCAACAGTTCTAAATGAAGACTTGAACATGTGATGAAAGAGCAAATCTCTTGAAGGGGCCCTTCACATATTTTACAAGTCAAAGTAAATGTACATATCACCGGGAGTACTGTGACCACGCTGCCTTGGAGAACGATTAAATATCCTCTATCGCTTTTGAGGAAGCTTTGGTTTTTCTCCTTTTTTTTTGGCACAAATTTAATGTGTGTTGATGACTGTTATCTTCATTAAATGCTTTAATTTAGATTTCTTTAGCTTGCGTTTCAATTGTCTCAATAATGCTTACAAGTTACCAAAGACCTTATACTGTTTCAGGCCAAGTTGTGATACATTTTTACCTTTAAAGTGCTGCCACCACCAGATAAGGACTGGAGTCTCCAACCCTGGGTAGAAGACTGGGATTAACACATTCAAGGGGCAAACTTGAATAAGAAGTACAAGCAGTAGTTTGCCTCAGCTGACATGGTTTAGTTGGCAAACTTTGTTTTACCTAGTATGTCAATCTGGTATTCAGCACCTGTACTTGATTCTCCTAAATTCAGACACAGGGTTATTGGGACTAAAACATGTTCTTTCTCACACAAGGAAGTTGCTGATAAGAGCCAAAAAAACTGAGCTTTAACCACTCTGGACACTCTGAAACACTGAGATGAAATAGCTAAGAGTCCTGATGAACAAATCAGCAGATAGAGCTTGCAGCAGACATGCAACTGGATATGTAGTTACACATTAAAGTCAACAAAAAACTGCAGCCAAACCTGGAACAATGTGGAAGACTGACAGTTCTTAAAGGCTCAAGTTGCTGACTTACAGCAGGTATGGTATGTGAAAGAAGGAGCGTGATAGTTTCTTCTGACAGGTATGACAGGTCTCAATGGGAGTCTATATTTGGCTGGTAATAAAACCTGCTTTACAGGCTTGTCAGTCAATTTTTTCCCATGAGGGACACTTGTCCTTATCAACAGGTATGTTTTAGTCATCAGATAATCGCCCATGCTGTCAAACCTTAAAGTCACCCTGTGATTGTTTTGCTGTATGTTTGCATTTAGTGTTACTCACAAAACACATTATGTGTATGCGTATGTGTGTGTAACCTTAAGATCAATCATCTTAAATGCATTTCCCCATCATAAACCTGCATTGTTTAGATCCATGGTTCTTAACCTGGGCGTGTCATGGGGTTCATGGGAAACAGTTCTAAAATAAGTTAATGAGCACACACAAAATGTGAGTACATGACATACTGGCATAACGGCACCATATATAGGCTGGTTGATAGAAACTCCCATACAGACCCACTCAGGGTCTCAAACATGTGAGGAGGAGTGTCACCACTTAGGAACACTTACATAACAGATAATACCCTGAGGATTGTAAAGGATGAACATACAGCTGAACCTCAGTCACTGCAGGTATCCCTCAAAAAGCTCTTTGAAACTGTGAGGACTGGCCAAAGTGACCTCACAATGATGGTTTCGAACCTAAATTTGTCCCCGCAACCATAGCAAGACATGTCACATGTACATGCCCTAACATAAGTTGATCTGCAATAAAGCTACTGTGATTTCTCCTGCTAGAACAGAACAACACAGACAACAGTAAAAAATGGGTCATTCAAATAAATGCAGTTTTTGGCACTTAAATTTTGTACCCTTTGAGGTTGGTCTGTCATGCTTAATGCCTTTCAGGGGAGAGTTGTTTTGCAATGGCAGAGCAGTTTTCAGTGAAACATTAGTCTACAGCTTAAGGCTCTAAACTGTTGTGACCCAGCTGGGCAAAAACAGGTTAAAATAGAAATTATTAAAGTTATAAACAATTGAACGTTTGACTTAAGATTAAGTTAATGTTTTATTTATGTTTTTATATATTGCAGTAATGATAACTTAGTCAAATCTTTTATTTCACTCATTCACACTCCTTTTTTAAATTTAACACGTTTACGTTTTGCAGTGCGTTTTTTTGCGAGCGAGGGGAGGGCCCATGTTTGAGACGGACAAGAGCTAGCAGTAGCCGCTCGGTTGAAAGAACGTTTTGCTAAACAAAAGAGAAACGGAAGGAGTTAAGTCAAGATAGTGACTGAAGTCAAAGCTGTTGCCAGGTTACGGAGAAGCGGTTTCCCTGCAGAAGCCACGAGACCGCCGGAAGTGCCCCTTTGAACTTGCTTCGGTAAACTAGCTTCCCAACTCTATTTTTGCTAGTTTTGTTGTGTGTTAGCAACGAAGTTATTTCCACCTAAAGCCCATTCTAGAGTTTTACTGTGGTTTGTGAATATCAAGTGTCTAAAGTCTCTGAAGGGAAACGTATTTGTTGCATAAAATGTAAGTTTCGTAGTAATATTCACCGTGTTACTGAAAGAAACGTGAATTTCTTCCTACGTACTCCTCATGTTGCTAGATAATTTATTTTCCAAGCAGTATTTTTAATAAGAAACGGTGAACTGCGGAATTTTGAAAATTAGTGTGTTTATTTTTCTTTCACCGACAAAGTAAAGTTTGTAGGTGTAATGTTTTATGTGTAAGATATGTTTCTATGTTTACACAAATATTGGTTAAACTGGAACAGTTTAATTCTAATTCCATGGGCATGTTTTGTTACAACAAAAATAATTTTACTATCATTAAGGGTTTCGAGGTTGAACTAGTGAGTAACATAGTTCTCAATATGTTATGTGCAATAAGTATGTGTATTCAGTCTGCACTCTACTTTGATGATGTTATGATCTAGGAAGATGTACAACTTAAGAGGAACAGAAGATGACATGAAAGAAAGCAGAGCATAGACTAGAAATCTGTTTTTAAATGCAGGTCAGGTCTTTCATTGAGTGGGAAGATCCAGCAATTCCAGTAGATGGCAAGCCTCCCAGCCTGATTTCCAGGAATCCGGATTTACATGGCAGCTGAAACAGCGGGATGAGCTATCTTCGTTGTGGTAGGATCGTACCAGTCTCCTGGATTGGTACCAGCGTGAACACACATTATTCTTAAAGAGTGCATTCTGACACATAAGATCTCTATCTGATCTGACCTCAGACAAAGTTGACTTAAAGCGGGAAATCTCATATGATAAGACAAATTTCTTAGGTTTAAAGGGACCAGTATTTATCTTTCATATTTATGTTCTTATGATGCAAGTTGCCTTGTTTTGCTACTCAAATGCAAACTGCAGTTACAGTACAACAACTGAACTGAATTCACTTGTGTTGATATTGTTTTGTTCATTGTTTGTGCACTCAAACCTTAGCTCCTTACGAACTTAGAGCGAGGTGTACTCACCCAGGAGTGGGTTAGGTTTTGCCCTTGTGAGCTCTGCTGCTCATATGAAATTTGTTTGCATGCTAATGTTGACGCTGTAGCGTATGTTATTTGGGCTTAGTGGTTGGCTAGCTGGCTAGCAGACCAGTGGCTCTCAACTGGTGTGCTGAGAAGCAAGATTGTGTGTCTCCGTCCCTGAAGTTGTGACATTGATGAGAGAGCTACCTTAATAGCAATTTTTCTGTTTTTCCAGTTCACTAATTCTGTCCCGATAAAACCACATAATGCATCAGCTAATGTTTTTGTGAAGTGAAAGTTCAAGTCTACTCTCAAAGCATGGAAGATTAGGGCTGCTCTGTTTGCCCAGTCTATGTTTATCACTAGAGCTGTACACATTCTTTCTCTCTCTCCGTTTATTGTCCACATCCCTCCTCGCACAGTCTGTTAATCCTGAGAGAGAGAACATGATTCATGAATCTTTGAAAACGTAAACATGTAAGAACGTCAACTCGATTACAACAGTGAATAC